GCCAGGTGCTTCTCCTGGTCTCCCATGGGGTGCAGGTCCCAAGCACTTGGGCCATCCTCCACTGCCTTCCCGGGCCACAGCAGAGAGCTGGCCTGGAAGAGGGGCAACCGGGACAGAATCCGGCGCCCTGACCGGGACTAGAACCCGGTGTGCTGGCGTCACTAGGTGGAGGATTAGTCTATTGAGCTGCAGCACCGGCCAAAACACAGCTTTTTTTTTTTTTTTTTTTTTTTTTTTTTTGACAGGCAGAGTGGACAGTGAGAGAGAGAGACAGAGAGAAAGGTCTTCCTTTGCCATTGGTTCACCCTCCAATGGCCGCCAAGGCCGGCTGCGCTGCGGCCGGCACACTGCGCTGATCCGATGGCAGGAGCCAGGAGCTAGGTGCTTTTCCTGGTCTCCCATGGGGTGCAGGGCCCAAGCCCTTGGGCTATCCTCCACTGCACTCCCTGGCCACAGCAGAGAGCTGGCCTGGAAGAGGGGCAACTGGGACAGAATCCAGCGCCCCGACCGGGACTAGAACCCGGTGTGCTGGCGCCGCTAGGCGGAGGATTAGCCTAGGGAGCCACGGCGCTGGCCTCAAAACACAGCTTTTAAAAACATATTTGAGGGGCTGGTGCTGTAATGGGGGTTGGGCTGCCACCTGCTGTACTGGCATCCTGTGTGGGACCTGGTTTGAGTCCTGGCTGCTCTACTTCTGATCCAGCTTTCTACTAATGTGCCTGGGAAGGCAGTGGAAAATGACCCAAGTCCCTGTGCCCCTGCCACCCTCGTGGGAGACCCAGAGGAAGCTCTTGGCTCCTGGCTTCAGCCTGGCCCAGCTCTGGTTGTTGCAGCCATTTAGGGAGTAGACCAGCGGATGGAAAATCTCTCTCTCTCTCTCTCTCTCTCTCTCTCTCTCTCTGTCTCTGCAAGTGTGTATTTTTTTCCCATTTTTTGACCATTTCTATTTGAATATTCAGAGGAAAAGAAGTAAACTATTTTTCTGCTGGAGAAAGAGACTTCATTTTTCTCTTGTTGATCTGTAAATACCTGTCTCCTCTTTTTAATGCAAGGAATATTGATTTTCTCTTTTTTATTGTGGTAAAATATACATAAAATTTACCATTTTAACCATTTTTTAGGTGTACAGTTCTGTGGCTTTAAGTCCATTAACACTGTTATGCATCTCTAGAACTTACCTTCTCCCCAAATGAAAACACTGACCACTACACATGCGTATCCATTATGCTTTTACCACAATCCCTGGCAACCACCATTCTATTTTTCTTCTCTATGAATTTGACCGCTCTAGATACCTCATGTAAGTAGAGTCATACAATATTGTCCTTTTGTGCCATGCTTATTTCACTTTGCCCAGTGTTTTCATGTTTTATCCATACTGAAGTATGTGTCAGAATTTCCTCCTCTTTGAAGGCTGAATAATATTCCACACCACATTTCATTTATCCATTCATCTGTTTATGGACACTTGGGTTGCTTCTGCTTTTGGATTCTTGTGAATAATTCTGCTATGAACATGGGGTATAAAAAAGTCTGTTAGATTCCCTACTTTCACTTTCTCTGAGTGTTTATCCAGAAATGGAATTACTGAAGCATATGGTAATGCCATGTTTAAATTTTTGAGGAATTACCATATTTTCCACAGTGGATACACAATTTTATATTCCTACCAGCAATGCACAAGGGTTCCAATCTCTTCACATCCTTGCTCAAACCTGTTATTTTCTGTTTTGCTTATTGTTATGTTTTAAAATAACAGCCCTTCAAATGGCTGTGAATTATGATCTCATGTGGTTCTTTTCTTTTAAACCTAATAAAATCTTACAGCCTGCTCTGATTTCCTATAACCAGATGGCGAACCCAATCTTTGTCATCCAGGGGGCTCTCCCCACTTCCTAGAATCACACCAGCACTTGGTGCCAGAAAATTAAAAGATTGTTCTCTAAGTCCAGCACTACCACAACAGCCTCTGACAAGTCCTTGTCTATACCCTTAGTGTCAGTTGCTTTTGGGGACCATGTGTGGACTATGAATGGGAGTCCGTGGGGTTCTGCCACTGTGTTGTCTTGTTACCTCTTTGAGGAGCTACCATCAAGTAAGATCCTCATTTTCTTCTACCCTAATATGGGCCATGCTATTTTGATTATGAAATAATTCTATCACTTGGCTTTAAGAAACTTTGCTTAATTGTTCCCTTTCATTAATTTTCTGATTATTAATTATTTAAACTTAAAGTGTATATAGAAACAAAGCAACAAATTCTCTTGAACCCCAAACTCAGTTCTAATAAATTTCAGTATTTTCTGTGTAAAAACTTTTGCAGAAGAATAAAAAGAAGCATGTTCAAGATTATTTATTACAGTATTTGCAATAAAAAAATTAAGATAGACTAATGTTCCTCTGAGAAAATGAAAAAATAAACTATAATATATTCATAAAATGGAAGAGTGCACAGAAATGGACGTGAATGAACTAGGCCTATGTATTACTGACATGGAAAAATATTAAAAATGTCACATTAGGGAAAAAAGTTCCAATAACAACTTGCAATGTGTTATAAAATTGAAAACTAACAGAACATTGCTAATTTTTTATGAGTAGGTACATATAAAGTCAAAATAAGAGCACAACTAATATATATTTATGTAAATAAAATAACAAAATATGAGTGTTTGTCTCTATGATGGAATGGAGAGGCAAGAAGAGAATAGGGAGATGGACTTTAGTTATATCTGTATCATTTTTTTCAAAAGAGCCAACATTTTAACTTTAGTTAGGAAGCTATCTCTACATTGAGGATATACTTAATACATTTTTTGTAAACATTTTTCACAACTTGTTTGTAATCTTTTAGTTTTTTGTAAGAATTATAAAAATATCAAGTAAATCAATTTGTTTATAATTTAATTTATAGAAATTCTTTACTAGCCAAGAATTAAAGCTAAATATTATCTATATTTTCCTTCATATTTTGTGTGAAGGAAATATATATTTGTATACATTTATCCTTTTAATCAATCTGGAAATTTTGGTAATGTATGATAAGAATATAGAATAATATTTGATTTTTTTACCAAATAACTTGCTAATTTTCCTCAAATCATGTGAAATAATTATTCCTTTTTCATTAGTCTTATATTGCTCCCTTTATCATGTTGTCTTATTATAGCTATTATTTCCATTGACTTGGGCTAATTCTTAAACAGTAAATTGCTTTATCTAATTTTATAATAAGGGTTTATAGTGGATAAAAGTTCCATTCTGATAACCTTCTTTCTCATAGACTTATTAGTTATTTTCACCTGTTAATTTTTTTGAGGTAGACTTTAGAATTATTTTTTCTCTTTTTGTGTATAATCTATAATTTCATTAAGAGATAATGGAAATATTATATTTACTGTTTCTCTTTAGAAACATGGTAGATATTTTCATTTATTTAAATCTTTTAAGATGTAATTTAGTAAAACTGAAAATTTTTCCACATATAAATTCTTCCTGGGACACTCCTATTGATTCAATGATTTTTGTTAACATTAGGTACAAGATATATTTACATTGATTAGTATGACATAAGAAAAGCCATTGATCTCTGGGTATTCATCATTCAGTCACTTTATCACTTTTCATCTAAAAGTCAGTTAACTTGAGATTTCTAGGAATAATTATGACAGCAGTCAGTAAATATTTTCCTTCTTTTCCTAACATTCAAATTGCTTAAGTATTTTCCATGCATTAATGCATATCCTAAAAATTTTGGAAAATTATTCAATAATCTTTGACTGCTTTTCATTCAAGATAGGCAGTTTTAGTGATTTATTCTTAACTGTGATATTCACTACAGTTTTATAAGACTGTCTGCCTAAATTAGCACGTCCTCCTTTTCTTAGTTTATCATAAGATATTATCAGCAATGTATGTTATATTTTGTCACATAATTTTCAGCATTATTTGAAATGATTTTAAGGTTTTATTATTTAAATTATTAATTAACATGTTAAAATAATAGTTGAAATGGTTTAATGAATAGGCTCCTGATTATAGTCAGATTCCTTTAGTTCTCTACTTATAATGATATCTGATTTGTTAGAGTGCTATTCAGGCACAATGTTAAACTTTTAGCTGAAAACACTGGCAAATTTTTTCCTTTCATAAGAGTCTCTGTATCACTAACATTTTGCTTTGTGACAATATTTTGATTCACAGAAAGCAACGTGAATGTTTTCCACAGTTAAATAGACATGGCTTATAATAATGATTAAAAATATGGGGTACAACTTTGAGGTTGGTGACTATTTTGAATTGAGTCCTACTCTAAGCCTATCTCTTGCCACCTTTAGAGTGATTACAATAAAGAATATAAAGTAAAAAATCAGTCAATAATCTGTGATTACACAGTATATCACAGAGCACAATAGCTGAAAACATGGGTGTAGAACTAAGCTGATTGTGCAAGGTCAGCATCATTCCCTTCCCTTCCCTCTACTCTGGCAAACACATGGACATATATGCAGACACCAGCTGCCCAGAGATGGCCCACCTAAGTTCTGGTCTTCTTGAAATTTTTAGAATGTAGTGCTCATTTTAACTTGATTTTTCCATGCTTTCAATCATTTAATCACTTAACAAAAATTTATTCACTGTCCTAATATGTGGCATTCTCTGTGCTATGTTTTAGGGATACATTTTGGATATGATTTTTGTCTTTGTGGAACTTACATAGGTAACACAGACTCAATTTCTTTTTCCATTTTTGCCACATCATTTAATTGTCTAATATTGTATGGTTTCCTAGTTGCTGATGGTCCCAATCGTATTGAATCATTCATTCAATATGTGTCAGGCACTATAATGGATACTACAGATTCCAAGATTAAGATCGAATATTATGGATACTATGGATTCCAATATTTGTCCCCAAGGATCTTATTACATTCTAGTGAAATCTTGACTCCAAGCCTTTCCAAGATTAATTTGACTTTATTATGTTGTCTATACCATAGGCACTAACAGCAACAACAGAAGCGAGCCAAGTATTCTGGAAAAAAGGTAACGTAAGAGTTGATAAAAAAGGAATTTCTAGTTAATCATTATTTAAATTCATATAACACCCCTTTCCAGGTAATTTACTTATTTATAAAGAAATTTTAATATATATGTCTCCAGCTTTTCAAGTAGAACACCATAAAACAGACTCAGCAGGTTTCTGTACTCAGGTGCATTTTCTTGCTGAAATTTCTGGCTTCCTCAGCAGAAAACTTTAAATACTAGGCAAAATGGTGAGAAAGGAAGCATGAGTGTTTAGTAAATTATTTGAGATAGTGGAACAGCTCATCCACCTCCTCCCCTTCCCTCTGCCCCCAGCAGAAAGTATGGGCTTTCTGAGATCACCTAATGACTCTGAATATAAACCACATAAGGAAAACGTAAGTAATGCTGTTAATTATCTCCTCTACTGAGGATAAGATTGGTACATTTTCATTCTATGGGATAATTCTGGATCAGTAATGTTTTCCTTTGGTACTTACTGAAATTAGAATAGGAAATGTCAATTAGTTGAATTCATTCATTGGATCAACAGACATTTACCAAGTACCTCCTGTGGGCCAGGCTCTGCATTTGTGGATCTTGCAGTTTGGGGAAGAAGGTATTGAACAGGTAGATACACGTGTGGTAAGTATTAGAAGAATGGAGAGACTAGATTGGGTTGGGGAGAACAGGGTGACTTGCAAGGCCTGTTAGGGAGCATGATGACAAATCATAGCAGCCATGCCTCCGTTCATCCAAGAGTCAGTAAGAATTTCTGAAGAAAAGTCACTCACACTGATGCCAACTTACAGCGGCCCTTGATTACAGTCCCCAGTGAGTTCTGCAGATACTGAACTGGCTTCCTGGCTAGGTCTACAGGATACAGCCATGGCTATCAAAGGGGATCATTTTCCTAAGTGATATTTCATTAATTATAATAGCAATAACAGCTAATATTTATTGACTATTTTATGTATGCTGGGCACAGTGCTAAACACTTTACATGTATATTCTATAACCTTCAGAACAACCTTAACGTAGGTTAAAATTGTATACATATTTTATAGATGAGGATCCTGAGGCTCAGAGACACAAGAAACTGGTCCAGAAATTACACATCTAGTAAGTAGTAGATGCAGGATGTCATGAACCAGCCAGGAATTGAACTATTTAAATGGTCAGGAAATGAATCTTCATACTTAGGCAAACATGTTAAGAATCTAAAATAACTCACTCCTAGATTTCACAGTGTTTCAGAGATTAACCAATCCAAGCATGCAATTCTTTGTATTCAGTACATGCATTTGCTAAGGAAAAAGACATAAGAGAATGCTTGTATTTTACACCAAACCTGTGCCTGGAAATGACCTTTCTTGGTTTCTTTTCAAAGACTACATTAGAGCAAACCATGGATTTCCCAAGCAAGTTGTCTACTTTACTAGCCGTAATAAGAAAATAGCCTGTGGCCTGTAGCTGGTCTCACGTAGATACTACAATTCTGTCATATGGAGGGATTTTTTTTTTCAGTTTGCCAGAGAGAGGGAGAATGTTCCCATCTGATGGGTCACTCCCATCTTCTGGTGAAGCTGGAGTTGGTATGGGAGCTGGGAACTCAATCCAGGTCTCCCAGATGCAGGATCCCAACTATTTGGCAAATACTCTGCCTTCCAGAATCCACATTAGCAGAAGGCTGGAGTCAGGACCTGGAGCTGGGCATTGAATCCAGGTACGCTGATGTGGAATGTAGCCATCTTATCTACTAGGCCAATGATTATACCACATGAAAGTTTTTTAACAATCTTCCATAGAGGTATTAGTGCCTAGTTTCACCATGTTTGCGCAAATGCACAAGTTCTTGTCATCAGTTCTCATGTTCAGCAGAATTTGGTTAAACCCTTCCTCCCTTCTTCTTTTTCCTATGCTTTATCACCAACATCATTGTTGCTTTCATCATTTATTAATCACTTACTATATGTCTAGCACTCTCCTAAGGTTTTATGTATATTTAAGCCTCAGGGCAGGCTCATGGCATAGCTACCTTAACTCATTTTTCAGACGATAAAAGAGGCTAACAGCTTGTTTAACTGCCACAAGGTCACATAATGAGGAGCAGTCTGGATTAAAACACCCATCTATTTAACTCCAGAGGACATGTTCTTAACTGCAATGTTACCGCTTGCCTTAAAGGATTTACAGTGGAGCACAAGATCAAGTAACAATGGACAGATGTGTGAATCTAAAATAAGCCTGAATTTACAGAGTGATAGAATTGAGATTTAGAGCTTCTCCGCCTGTGGTCCATGCGCCCCTGAATGTCCACAGATAGACATTAAGGGATTTGTACCCTCCTGAAAACAGGAGTCAGCAAACTTTTTCTTGAAGGATCCTATTTTAAATGTGGGCCATATGGTCTTTGTCCCAAACACTTTACTGTTGCAATACAAAAACAGTTACAGACAATACACAAATGAATAGGCAAGGCCGTGTTCCAGTAAAACTTTATTTACAAAAACAGGCAGCTGAAGGCTCTAAGTGATACACAATTTCTATGTGCATATATGCATAACTGTTTTTTGTTGTTGTTGTTAGGACATGATCCAAAGCTTTTCATAGTGTCTTAAATAAGCTCAAAATCTAATACAAAGAACAACTGGTCTAAATGGTCCCCAGGCTCCTCTAAGATTAGACATTCCAAGATTGTATAATTCTACATGCCTTTTAAATGAGCAATCTCTTAGAGACTTCTTGCAGGCACTTTTGATGGGTTCTGCTGTGAATTCTTTAAGTGGACAACAGTTACTGTCTGTTAAGTAGGGTACATAGATCACATTGTCATTCAACCTAACCTGGTTTCCCTGGTCAGATGACAGTGGCCAAAACACCAGCACATTCCAGACTGGATTATAAGAGCTAAATCCTACAACAGATAGTCTGAAGTGTGCTGAGGCCTTTCCTCTCCCATCAGAGACCATTTTCTGTGTTCCTCTGAACCTTCTTCACAAAAGAACTCATTTGTTTTAAGGATTTATTGTGTTTTTGAAAGGCAGAATGACATAGAGAGAAGGGGAGAGACAGAGAGAAAGAGATCTTCCATTTGCTGATTCACTCCCCAAATGACCGCAATAGCTGGGGCTGGGCCAGGCTGAAGTAAGGAGCCAGGAACTCCAAATGGATCTTTCATGTGGGTGGCAGGGACCTAAGCACTTGGTCCATCTTCTGTTGCCTTCCCTGAGCACATTAGCAGTGAGCTGGATAGGAAGTGTAGCAGTTGGGACTTGAACTGGCACTCTGATATGGGATGCTGGCATTGCGGGTAGTGGCCTAACTGTACCAAAGTGCTGGCCCATAAGGGACTTATTTGTTCTGTTTACACTGATACACAGTTTGCATTCCTGAAGTCAGATTTTCCCAGGGTAGTGTGGAGGGGAGGGATGTTGCTGAGTGTGTTTGACTGATGCATCTCTGCAACTGTTCAGGGACCTTCTGCGTCCAAGGAAACAGGTCCCTTAGGATTCCCTGCATCATGAGTTAGAGCATTTTATTCACTGTCTGTGACTAAACTAACATATACTTTTATGCTGCTTTCCACTCCATGAGTCTTGTCTTTCTCTGAGCAGAATCTTGGGGTGGGGCCTGCTGATTATATTCCATGATGTCCACCACAGAGCCTGGTGCCACCCTTGGCATGTGACAGGAAGAGCAAAGAAACTACACAGGAATTTTTTTTAAAGGTTATTTGCACTAAGATCCCTGAGAACAACAGCCAATTTTAAATTCTTGTACCACTTTTGAAAGTCAAAATAAGAGTTGTCCAATCAACTTGAGTAACAAAAAGAATGAGCTTTAACTTTTAACAAAACCCTGACCCATAAAAACAAGGGAGTACAAGAAGTATGAATCATAATGTGATTACATTTATATTCCAAGTTTTTCTGAGAATGGAGAGTTGAACATTGGGGAAGAGGCAGAAGAAGTAAAAGAAGAGGAAGAAAATGGCAAAGAGGAGAATGGCATAAGGGAAACAGAAGACAAGGAGGACTACAGAGAGAAAGGATGGATGCAGAGTGATTCTGTTTGCTAACCAACTACTGCTGAGTTGAAATTCAGTGTCATTAGGATACAGCTATTTCTCACAGCAAGTGCCCCCCAAAGAAGGAATTATAAACCAGCAAATGAAAATAACACGAGTATAAATCACTTAGCCGGTACTTATGGAGACTTTATTCTATATTAGACTCCTATATATTTCACATCAGGATTAGCATTAGCTCTCTGAAATGAAACATCAATAAGAGGACCACATGGAGCTGACTGCACCCCCAACTCATATTTCAGTTCAGCTTTAATTATCATGTTCATCTGGCAGCAGCATGGTGCCCATAAACAGAAATGGGTCATGGTAGGCCTGAGTCTTTGTCCTGGCATTTCTTTATATGACCTGGATTGGCCAAGCTCTGGGCCTCAGTTTCCTCATTTGTTAGACATGAATAAGATTTCCCTGCTCTACTTATTTCACAGGGGTGTTGGGAAGATGAAAAGGGTAATATATATACTTACATGCTTGAATAAGGATAGGATAAAATGCCAGATAAATGTAAAATTGACCTTGTTCTCTTCACTTAACAAGGTAGTGGGTAGGCGAGAGGGTGGGGACAATGGCATTTTGCACAGAAGCCTTGGTGACTCAATGAAGTGTCTTTTTTTTCCTTTAGTAATATCTGGTCTGGGATTATTACTGCTTTCTCAGTGTTTTTCGACATACTTTTCCCCTTCAGAAATGCCAAAGGTGAAAAATACTATTCTACCGCTATAATTTGTCACCCTTGCTGCCTGAGCAAGACTTGCATGGACAGTTTAGTAATTAAGCTTTTCAACACTGCATCATAAAGTTTTATTTCTGCAAAGGCTATATTTATCAGCTAACAAGTATTAAATCACCCCACTGCTCAATCCGTTTCTCACTTGTATACGCTCCTTTCAAAACACAGCAGCCTTCCTTGGCTGGCTTGATTAATACAAGT